AAAACGGTTGCTAGGGTACCTTCTTCATTGTTGTAGTGTTGTTATTATTTAAGTTATTATTTAAGGTGAACATAGACGGCTCGTGAATATATGGGTGGGAAAATTCGAAATTTGACTTGAGTTTTCGAAAAAATGCTAGATAAAAAAGTTGTTCCGTTTCACGAGTTCTGTTACTGGTTAAAATTAATGTACTTATTTCTGAGACACCCTATATAATTACCAAATTTGTCGTTAACAACAAAATCAATATCAATAAAGGATCTGATCTCTAATGAAAAATTTCTTTGTCCAGACAATCTAGACAGTTTTATTATTGAATGATCAGAAAACAACAGAAAACTCGCTAATTGCCACTATAATGTTCAACTAACAGAACCAAAATGAAAATAACCACAGAACAATTACCCTTTTGGACCTTATTATCAATGATTTTTGACCATTGATGATGGGTAATTATTGATAAGAAAATTTCAAGAATGTATACACAAGTTACCACACTTCTTATTGAAAGTTACATAGTTCTTAATAAAATGTTTTGTATGTTACTGAATTCTTTTTTATTCTAGCTATTTTAACGTGTTGAAGTAATGAGGCTTTTTTATACATTAATATGAATTCAAAAAATGCAACTTAAAATTTAATAGTATAAATATATATTATGTAAGATGTTTTATAAATGCTTAGTCACGAATTTATTCAATCACGAGCGGAGCGTGTGTTTAAAAAACGAGTGTTGAGAGAGGTTTATAAACGTGTTAAAATTAAATCCATAATTATCGAAACTCCGAAATTTATTACCCTACAAAACAAATTGGTCGAAGGTTATTTCGACGGAACTTTCCTTATTCCTGAAGGACAATAAAACAAATCTAACTTTTTCGAAACATTTTGAAATGGGATTTTGCGAATTTTAATTTATTTGTGAGAACCCTTGTAAGTTAAAATAAAGAAATGTATGTAACGTTAAAGTAAATATAAAGAAGCGTGGTGCGCGTACGTTTCAGATGAGTTTTCTATTAACAAAATCGCCAAATTTTTGGAAAAATCACTTTGGATAGGTGCAAAGTAATACTAATGATAACAGTATTGTATTCACAAATTTTCGGGAAAAATTGAGTGAGCCGTTGCCGATTTAATGGATAAAAAAATTGACTCATTCATTAATTCTCACCTGTATTATAAGAAGTTTTAATGCAATGATAAATCACACGTATATTATCTTGTGCACATTTTGGATAGAATTTATTCGGCAAAATTTTGAGTGGTATAAACAGATATATTTCGATTAAAAATTTACGAGACAATTAAGTTTAAAACGTCTGCAAGATTTCAAAGCATTCGGTTGTGCACTTCCTGATTTAATCAATAAAATAAATTGACTCTTTCATTAATTTTTTTAGTCATCCTATGTAAGTAATTCTAAAAACTATGAGTGCGTTGACAAACCACAAAATTTTGATATGACGTCATCAAGTTTTAGTGAAGGAATAAACGAATAAATTTTTCTTAACGATTTACCATGATTACTATAACATTAAAATATTTACAAGATTTCAGCACATTCGGTTTTGCAGTTTCAAAGTTAAATTACAAAATATTGTAACACAATGTTTTTCTAAAAATTCTGGATGTCTAGCGTGAAAATTTAACACGGTTTCACACATCACAAGTGCAGGGATATCTTGTTTTATAAAATTGAAAAAAACTTATTGTTATATCCCATTGATTAGCCAAATCTTAGTTAACTTTTAACCATCTACATGATATTCCTAATATGTATATGTACATATAAAATTTCACAAATCGGTCGTCTAATAAAAACACAGACGCCAAACAGACAGATAGACGGAAACGGGAGACTACTTTTTTTTTGTGGTATAGAGGTCATGCCACGTCGCGAAAATATGAAAGTAACTATTCCCTTCAGAAAATTTCAGCCAATGGAATTGATCGAATTTTAAATTTTGGCAAATCCATGGCGACTTACACGAACATTTTTGGGAACGGGGAACTTATCGATCGATGAGTTCCTTGCATGACCCAATGATAACCAAGTTCTAACGCAGCAATTTTCCTGCATGAACCAATCAAAAAAATAGATAACCATGTTATTAATGAAAGCAATAATTATTATAAACAGTTCTTAATTCGTTCTTTATTTCGTTTAGCTTATTAACATAGACTTTTGCTAATTGTCGCATTTTACCAATTTCCTTTGAGGAATGAAAATTTGAAGAAGAGGTGAAATTTTCTTCAGAAAATAATCTGCCAAAAGACCCCTCCACCTCGGAGGAAATTGGCGATAATTTTTTCAAATCTTTTTTTTTTAATGAAATTGCTAGCTGTGGTTTTGCTAACATTTAAAAAAATGAACAAATTAAAAGCTTTCCTTCTGCAGAAAAGCCGAGCGCTAATACAGCTGATCCACTGGCTGCATCCAGTGATTTTTGTCTTTTGAAAATTCTAATTGATCCTCAATTAATTCTAAAGTTGACATCACTGGCACTGTTTCGTCTTTTAATATAAATCTTGCATATAAATCCACATCCAACTGCTTGAAGGGTTTCGAATGGGCGCCAACCGTGCTTTCAACTTTCAACTTCAAACTTCAATAGTTACTCTTTAATTCAAGTTTGCTACCATGTTAACCATTAGATTGGTAACTTTTAGTTAAAAATTTATTGATGAAGATAACTTTAACTAACAGTTAGTTATCTCTCACATTTATCCTTGTATTGATAAACCAGACCCTAGTAAGCTAATTCGTTAGTGTTCCTAACGTGACTCGCTTCGATGCCTTTTGTGTTTAGGTAGGTACTACTTTTCTTCTTTCGTACTCACTTGAATTTTTTTTTGAAGACACGTTATATCCCTATTGACTGACTGGGTTGATCAAAATTTGAGAACTTGTCATAGTGTGTGTCACAGCCTTAGACAAATTCTCATTTCATATATTATTGTTGTGGATTCTGCATTGTCAAACAAAGCTAGATCGTTTTACATTTCACACAGATCGTCAGACAAATACAATAGCTAAACAAAAGTTGGAGGACACGAAAAATTGCGAGAAAAATAAAAGCTTGCAGTTGTTTAGATCGATGACAAATTATTTCAAAATTTAAGTGTTCAAATACTACGTAGAAAATTTTACTCGTGCAAAATGATTCGTGTAAATAAAGATATTACAGTTCTTGAACTTTTATTAAACAGATAGTTAGTTACTTTACATACGTAAAATTATTGTAAGTTAATATAGTTTTCAAAAACGCATTTAAAGATATCAGCATATCTTTGCAAAAATATTGATAATGCATCACATAGTTTTGTAAAGTAAAAAATCATTTGAAACATAGGCCTAGCACGCTATTTTACAATTTTTCGAAAATGCTGGATATGTTTCATTGTACTTTAGGGGCGAGGGAAGTTCTGGCGACGCAACCTTCTACCATTTTTTTATAAATTAAAACATCAATTAAATGTTTTCTTTATTCATAGACTAAATTTATCAACTTAGGACCCAAGTTTCAAGTCGCTGCAGTTTCAATTCGCTACATAGCAACACTAATAAGTTTGCTCATGTTAGTATAAGACTAAAGGGGCAATTCTGAATCAAAATTGTTAAATTTAAAGGGTGTTAAATTTCAAATTTCCATAGTAACGAGTTAAATTCGTACATCTGATTGGCTGTTTATTTTTTAACAAGCTTTAAATTTTAACAGGTTTGATTCAGAATTGGGTCTTATGACTCACTAATATTTGCGAATTTATGTTAACGGAACAACTTGATACTGACCCGTTATTTGATATTGAAAATACAGTTTTTTAGTGGACAGCACTAAAATGTTTTAAGTATACGACATATCACTGAATTCTGAAGAAAATACACTTCTCACTGACATTAGATTTACTTTTAAGTTTGTTAATATTCTGTAATTGCTAAATCTGTCAGTTTTTGTTATACAAAATTTTTTTAATGAAGTCTGTTATATGATTGCTTTATTCCATATTTTTTCACCATCCTGTGTTATCCTTTCAGAAAACAATGTTTTAAAAAAATATTACCATACAGCATGGGATCTTGGTATCTTAATTAGGATATATTTTAAAAAGGTGTACTCCTATGTAATCATAATTTTAACCCAGACTTATTAGTGTTTTAAATTATATTTGAACTATCCTCTCGTTTTCATCCGTATAAATTTTAAGTGGAACTTATTAATGACGTTCTTACGATTTTATTGTATGTTAAACAAAACTGGTTTCGGAAGTAGGCTCCTTCCATCCTCACATAATAAAGACAATAAATGTTGCATATCGTTACTTAAAGTGTACATTTTCATAATTACAGCGTATTAGTAAAAGCTACCTTTTTGTTATTTAAAAAATGTAGTGTAAATGGGAGAGAAAATATTTAGTTTTTAATTGTTCCCGGTAACGCGAAATACTTTATGATGGAAACTCGAATCTTGTGATAAATTTTACAGCGTATTGCATCTAGGAGCGCCCACAAACCACAAAACTTAAATGTACATATAATAAAAAATGTCATCTTTGAAAATTGTACCTTTTTTTAGTAAACATATTTTAGGGCAATGCTCGAGGGTGAATTATTTACAGTACATTTATTTACACGCAGTGTGGTAATCATGCGAAATATAAATTTGCCTAACCTTATTATTCAACCGAATCATATTTCTGTAACTGATGTAAAAATTTTAGCGTTATATTTAACAGCATGCTATAAACGTATTTTATTTTAGTAAAAGGATATCGACGCCACCAGTTTATGACTTGATTGGTTCTCTTTTAATTGATATGAGTAATATAACAGCGCACAGATTAGAATCGAACAAACGTATCTGAAGAAATAATTTGTTAAAATCTCATTTTAATAAATAGTACGAATATTTCTGACACTGCGACGTTGCAGTCTTATTTTGAAATTGTACCAAACAATATAATGTAGACGAACGAAGCTGAATCGCGCCTTTATTTTTCAGGGTTTAAAGAAAATCTTTTTGTCTCCACGTAAGCTTACAACACAGCACAATGACGTTGCCCATCCAGCCTCTTTGTGGCGATAATACATCGTTACCATTACGTGGAGGTGTCACTGGAAGACGAAGAGTTTGCCTAAGCGCAGCTTGGGCTGATCCACCTACACGACGAGAAAGACGACGAGCCATTTGCTCTTGGTCCGTCGGTTATGGTACGCTAACAGAACAGGACGAATCGCCAATCAAGCAAGATTTTCTTCATAAAAAAGGTTGGTTTTTTAACGCTAACTAACCGAGTCGACTAGGAGGTACCCAAAATTCGTTCGTTAGTTTATTACGCATCATTTGACATAGTATTTTATTTTATGGTTAAAATTCGATAAACCACGACGGTCACGTGGCACTTCACGATTTTATATGGAAACTTGTGATATCTATGTTGACGTTGACACGTGCGCATCGTTATAATTCATTTCTTACACTAATCATTCAAGCCCGGTGCACCTTAATACATTGTAAGAACTAAGCTGTAAATTGTGTTGCTCTTTTTACGATTTATCGATAATTACTATTTTACAGTTTACAGTACATTACCATTACATTTTGATACTTCGTCTTGCTAATAGACCTTGAATATCATTATTATGTCGACGACACTAATAAGTTTAGGCAATAGTCTGAAAATTAGGACAGAATATCTTCCCATATTAAACATTTTTTTGTGAATACTGTGGCGAGCGAAGGTAAGCGAGACCAATTATTATTCACATATGCAGGAATACAAAAATATGGAAACAAACTGTGAAATAGTTTGTATAGTGCACAAGTCTAGTAGTAGAGATACATCCACAACTACACTTTGAATTTATTTGTTAACACGAATTTCCATTTTTAATGCCTTCCAAACATTCCCACGTAAGTTTGGTCCTTCGAACCGGATGAAGGAATCCACACAAACAGAATAACAAAGAAATGGTCGGATACCAGTCGTTTATTTAGACAAGATTTAAATAAAAATATAATCGTTTAAAGACATACTAGAAACCTTCACTGCGTTAAAAAATGCTAGGAAAATTTAATTGGTCAATTTTAATATAATAAAAAAAATTATATGAACTCTCTGGGAAAACCGAAAAAAAGAATGCGAAACCAATAAATATATTCATCAATTACTTTTGGACAGTGTACGCAGCTACAAAAACTAAATTTCCAAAAGACAAATAAACCCAAAACATGGTTTTGTTTTTTTTGTGAATGAATACAATGTTTTTAAATATTGTGTAATCACTAAAACTAAAAATTTTAAGCAATTCCAGTTTCTAAATTATGAAAGTTGATTTTTCAATTTTAGTTTTTTTTATTCTTTGTTACGGATGGATTGTTAAATCACAGGTTAATAATAATAATAATATTATGTAACGAAAGCAATAGGGAACATATTGGCGGCGGCGCTCGGCGTAATAACGTCCAAGGCGTAAGCCAAGGATATCATGCCGAACAAGGCCGCTAATATGCCATATGACGAGTTTACATACTATTTTATCGTATACGATACCCGTTTCTTTGCAAAAAGTTCGCAGAAATTTTATAAAACATTAGCCTCTCTTAATTAACAGAGCGGTGGGTTCGGTTGTTCATGAAAATTTAGAAGTAAATAAACAACGAAAGAAAAGCCAGAAAGATGGCTGATGCGTCAAATTTCTATTACATTAGGGATCTAGACCGCTAAAATCAAGTCTTAGGGGACTGGGCTGCTAAAGTTCAACTTTTCGGTCCGTCTGTGGTAACATAATTTGACATTTAACGATATTATATGCAATAAATCTATATATCCCTAATGTAATGGAAATTTGACGCATCAGTCACCATTTTTCAGGATTTTCTTTCGTTCTCTTTAAATTTATAAAATAACATATTCCTGCATGTGTAATCTGTGAATCCGTCTTTTTTTTGAGTTTTTACTATAGGCATCCAAAGTTTTGTGAGAAAATAAAAATTTTACAACATTTACAGTTTAACTTTGAAATTGCGAAACCGAATGCTATGAAATTTTGCAAACATTTTAAAGTTATTCAAAATTTGTCTGTTTATGTCCCCACCCAAAAAATGATGACGTCATTTTACAAAGTCAAATTTATGAATGTTTACGCTTGACATCTAATTTTTTGAAAAAAAAAATTGAATGTGTTTAATTAATTAGTCCTCTGTTCTGCGTTAAGGAGACAAAATGAATCAAATTTCATTTTCTTTTGACACAAATGCCTCGGCTGAACGTGTTGATGTCGAATTTTTTCGAAGTACCGCGTGATCACAAATGATTATTGAGTCTAGTGGCAATCGTGGATTTTTAATTGAAATTGGTATCATAATGTCTATAATTTCCGGTTGTCAGCTGTCAACATTGACAGATTGCTGACATTTTTAAATTTGCAAACTGTATCCAAAACATAATCTAAATTTATCACATGTCACAATTGACATATTTGCACAGAATTACTTCTGTTGTACCAACATAAACGTAATAAAAGTTAACATTTTTATTTAAAAAGTACAGTAATTATTAGCTGCTAGATTTGAAGTTTCACGTTTCAAATTTCAAAACTCAGTGGCGTCTTTTTTCGATGTTTTTTGTTTTTTTCTTTTTTTTTTTTTTTTGATAAAAAATATTAGTTCTCAGATTTGAAGTTTCGAATTTTAGATTTGTTCATTTCTGGAATTTGTTCGCAAAGGTGCGAGTAGCAATAAGGTATAGCATCGACCAAGGCGATTCGTACAAACGTTAAAACCGTTCGCAACTTTGCAAGGTAACTTTCGTATCGCAACTGATTCAGGTGAGTTCGCCAATTAACCCCCAGTTCTCTTGTCACGCCACTGAATTCATTGCCACATAACCTTAAATAAATCTGTCATAAGGTTGACAAACTTCACGGCAAAAACGGAAGGTACCAACTCTCTCAATCAATTTTGATGACTCGGTACTGCGAACAGGCTCAGTCATTTCTGATCACGCGGTATAAACATAAACAGTTGAAGTTATGCATGTACTGAGAAATTGAGAATACATTTTTCCCGTTGATTATATTATTATCTGTTTTAAATGTATTTCATAATAAGCAATTTCAATTATTTTACAATTTCAGAAGATGCTTTTCCAATTTTATTTATTCCGATGACTTGACGAGTACACGTTTCCCTTTGGTAATTAATGAATGAATAACTTTATTTCTGAATCGTTTTAAGAACGAAGTGACGCATATTTTCTATGTAATTCACATGTTCAGTTACTGTACATTTTCTTGCAATTTCGTTTTTGGTGTTGTGGAAATACTTTTCCTGTCGTTTAGTTTTTAGATAGTAAAATTCAACTCTCAGAGCACCAACAATTTCAACTATTAAAATAACCTACGTGTAAAATAAACATCAAATATATTTAAGTACTCATACATTAAAATCTTTGTTCAATTAGTAAACATTTTTCGTCAGACGGTTCTTTTATAAGTTTGAAGATTTGTTTTTTCTCCTAAACACGTAATTTTTTTTAAGTAGATAAACCCTTCGTTTTTTCGTTTTAAATAAGCACATACTTGATGATATTCAGCAATATTTACATTTTGCTTAAGGCTTCTACATCACCACTCGACAGTGATTTAAAATTCATCCACAATTCAGACAAGGATCTTAGTATTCCATTTTCAGAAAAGGAATTAATATTCTTATTTCGGCATTCCATTTCTGGTATTATCTGTTCAAAAATTAAAAGACCATTCAATCGACAACATTGTCGAGCGAGATTTTTGGTGCATTTTTATAGACATCCATTGATTTTGTAGCAGCTTGCTTCATTTGCTACCGCTGTAATTTCTGGCGGAGTAGGCAGCAAATATAGGTCCTAATTTGATATATTAATTAACGTAAAAAAACCCAAAAAGCCATAAGTTGAACTGAAATTTGACAGTTGTTGACGGCATCTAATAATTCAATTTTGGTCACAACATATTAATAACGACCGAGAAGTGTATGTTTTTATGGCGGTAGTCCCTGAAATAAATTCCATAAGAATTACATTGCATTTCAAGTACCGGTATTAAATATTGACTCTGCAATCGGTGTGTGAAGGTGTTGTTTCATGAACGGGAGTAGAAAAGTTTTTTTTATATATATTCTACAGTGTGTTTAGAAAAATCTCAAAAGGTTTATGCGATCGTGTTGTGTATATAACAGTTTAGTTGTAAGTTTTTAGGAAAAATAGGGCTCAAATTTTTTCGTAAAGTTCCAGAATATTTTATAATTTTTTTGTAAATGGTACCGTATAAGCGTTCCTAATTTCAACAGTTTATCTTTATGAACAAACAAGTGTAGGAATCAAAATCTTGTATGAAATTTCCTGTATATTTTCTTATACTTATATGTACTGTTTAATAACTATTCTTTTACCTTTAAAAAAGTATTAAAACATAAAAGGTAACTTAACCTTAACTGAAATACTGCAGCATTGCTGCGTTGTCCTGATACGATGTTATGTCGCGTGATGTTAGTTGCTCTTTAAAATATGAATAGAATTTAGATAAACTGGTCGAACAGCTAATAATGTCGATCGGTACTGACCAAAATAGACGAAGGTAGGGAACTTATGTAAAGGAGAAACAGCAATTTTTGATAGAAATTACTTTGTTACCTTGGGGGCACCTCTTCTTGCTCCGATCTTGGCCATCAATTCCTCTGAAAGTGAAGTGGGTTTGTCTAAAGAAGTACTAATAGACACTACATAGTGGGCAGGATAATAACCTTCCGTAGAAAAAAAAAATGTCCGTTTTTTTTTTATTATTATTTATTAGAAAATCTTCCAAATATTATTTAACTTTAATAATTTAACGTTACCCTTGTCTTAAGGAAATGATACGAATGTGAACTACTCTATAAAAATTACAGACCTTACATGAAAAAATTATTACAAATAAATGAGTTCACCTTAAACGTAGTTTTTTGAGGTACGATATGATTAGCAGTAATATAATAATTTCATTGAAAAGATAAGATATTAAAAAGCTTTATAGGTAGATAATATACTATTTTGTCTCCTTTTGCTTTTATCTAAGCAATAATAAGGTGTAATAAATTTACACATACTGCGCGTGAACTATTCGGTATAATTAGGTAGATAAAAAGTCAAGACATCAGTAACGTCTTAAACATTTTATAATGTGGCATGCTTTTTGAGCATCTATGTATATTTGTAAAAATACAAGTGACTCGTTTTTGAATTTTAATTATTCATAAAAAAATACTACAGCCACGTCAATGAAAAGCACAAGTGATTTGTTTCTGAGTTTGTAAGCAATTAAGACATATTTCCGTGTAATGTCGGCGGCATAGTCTTTGTTATTGATGGAAACAATAAAGAAAACTGGTGCAAGAATTTACTCTTACGGAACGCCTGGCTTCAATGTGATATTATTACTTTATGATAAGGCATGGCTTGAAATCGGTCACTAAATAAATATAGCGAATAGTTTAAACGTTTTAAAAATAGTTACTTGTATTACAAGGTTAGAAACTAGACTACGCAAATACAAGTGAATTTGTCGGGACGAGCCGATAGGCGAGGCCTGCAAGTAACGGTATTCGCAAAACCATATTCTGGCCGAGTGATAGACAAGATTTTTGTGTAGATTTTTATATAAATAAAATTATTATTAATTGGATTGCTTTTAACGGAATATATTTATGGAAATTAAAATATATGTACAACCCTCCATAGCCGAAAGTTCATAGGATCGATTCGACGACCGAGAACCGCTTGGTGCTGAACTTTTTTTTTTCGCCTTGACAGAAGTCTAAGGTGTCCAGTGACATAATAACAAGCGATAATACTAACTGATGTCTATAATCATAACAAAATCCCTAAATTTTTGCCGAATTAATGCAACAATCTTTGTTTTCTGGCCGCTAGACACTTATCAAAAACTAGTGATGTGAGCCGGAGGTGCGAAAACCATTTTCTAGATAACGTTGTCCTGCCGATTGGTTGTAAAAAAAGCAAAACGTCGAAATATCCACATTATCAACGTGAATTTTGTAAACTCGCTTATCACCCCCATATTTTGTGCACCCCTGTGTCCATCTTGAGTACCAATCTAAATTTGCAAAAGTTCCTGTGGATGGTATATTAATCAGATTACACGTTCTCATTATTGCATATTCGGAATTTGCGATACCTGTGTAGTGTGTAGCAATTGAATAATGAAATAGCGACCACAGTGCGACAGTTCCACCTTTCAATGTTTGCAATAGATGAGTAATGCTATATAATTATTACTTGTGCCTGTTTTACTGTGTTAATCTAGTAATCGTGTCTCTTTTTTTTTAAAGGAACTACTTTAACGATGCAAAAATTATACTAGTTCCAATAGTTAAGAACATTTATTTAACGGTGGGGGATAATCGCTTTGATACTACTAATACATAGCTGAAATTTTGATATTTGAATTCCAACCATGAGATACAAAAAGATCTCTGCTTTACAAAATGAATTTTCATTACAGGAAAAGTGGCTGACAACGCCACTTTACTGGAACCGCGGGGCCGCCGTCTAGTCAACTCCATCGCCAGCACTCATGCATCTCCTTCGGCGTCTCGCCGGTCCCGCAGCAAAGTGGATCTCCTGGCTATGCCTGGCCTTAAGACCCTTGTAAATCGTCGCCGAAATAGCGGATCAGAAACCCAAGCGCCGTTGGTAAAGCAAAATGGCAGCTCAGCTAGTCTTATCAAACCGGCTGCCAGCATGGCAAGTTTACGGAAGTACGAACCCGTACTTGCACTTACTGGAGTTCTTCGATCATCGTCTTCTTCAAGCAGCGTCGAACCTCTACAACCAGTCAACAGACTAAGGATACCTCCGCAAGACTCAACGTCACGGTTTTGTTCGCGGTGTTCCAGTATACTCACACTAGCTTCCACTTCGCGGTACTCGTTGAATTCGTCCACAGGGGGATTTGTACCCATTCTAAAGGAAACGCTACTACTTTGTAAACTTTGTCTTGTGGAAGTGCCTTCGAAAGATGCGTGCTGTATTGAAGACTGTAAATGTTCCTTTTGTGCAGGGGTGAGCATTTTTTAATGTATCTACTTGTTCTCTAAGTTAAGGTAGGTGAAATATTAACGCCTAACACAACACCATTTATAACTTTCTTACTTTTGGACTCACACAAAGTGAGAGATTCACAATATTTGATATGACATGGAACTGTTATACATTCTTAGTACGTGATAGATAAGTTCACTGTTTTGCATATCAAAATAATTGTATTTATCAAACACGAAATTGCGACAGCAAAATATGCAGCAATATAAAGTGTCGACCGAGAAGACATTCTAATGCACAAAACATGAATGATGATACCTGGGATGCTAATTTTTTTAAGGTTTGGGCTTGTAGTAAATGCACCGTAAAAACTACGACTACGCGCAGAGTCAGTTTTCGTTGCTCTCAAATGTAATGTAAATGCTTAACATAAGCATTTGAGCATGTTTTGTTCAGATGCGTTGCACTAAAACGCGACACTACAGAAATCACTGCATTTTACATCTGATCGTTCACCGAGAATGATAAAAACTCAAATCGAAATATCAAAAAGTAGGTAACTGCGTAAGAATTGAGTTGGCAGTGATGCTAAGTATGGTATATAGCTAAACTCCAGCTGCAGTTTAGAGCATAACCAGTAGGTAGCCACACTAAATAGAACGGTATTAATTATTTGAAACTGGGTACAAAAATAATCCCAGCAATTTTACTGCCTATTTTTTAATTTGATCAAATATGATAGGTATATAGGCAATTAAATTACAAAACTAGTTATTAACAGATTTATAGCTATGAAATTTTAAATCTAAATTGTCCACACAACCTACTCTGTATGACACAGTGGCAGTTTTTTTTTAACTATGTTCCATCATCATTCTTTTTAAATTTTGGTGAAATTTTTCATCACGTATTTTTAACATTTAATATCTCAATTATTTATCGAAATTTTGGAATGCGGTTTTCACCACTGTTTTCAGTTTACAAAGTGGTATACGTTACATGGAAAAACTGCCGATTTTTTTGTTGAAAATGAAGTACAGCACAAGCACCTTTTTCGGCGCAAGCTTCTTTTTGGTGTATCTCATTTCCAACAAAAAAAAAAAAACGACAATGTTTCCGGGGTAATGTATAGAGTTCTGTAAATAACAGACATTTTTAAAGATACGTGATGAAAAATTTCACCAGAATGCTAATAAGAAGATGACGATAAATTGTTAAAAAAAACTGCTCTTGCGTTATATCTATCGCACAAGGTGTAGATTGAGTATATTTAAAATTTCACAACAGTAGGTCTGTAATATCGGAGATATTACGTCCTGAAAATATATTAAAAATCCCATGAGCCGAAGGTATCATTTTCTCAGAACCTGGATTTGTTGGATGAAGGAAGTTCTGTCTAATAACATAATTTTTCTATTCACGTATTTAACGGGGGTTAAGTAACGCTACCCGTAGTCAAGATCGGCAAGGATCTATATACAACCACTCATTCTAATCTGATTAGAACCCAAGAAGCCTTCTATTCATATAAAAAAATTGGGCAACTTTTGCACTGTTGTCATTTTAGTCATAAAGGCCCTTGTTGCACAGTTGAGTATCAAAAAACATGCAGAGCAGTGCTGGACGTTGTACGTTTCTGAGTAATCAACTTAGTAATATCTCCGATTATTCATTTAAAAAATATATATAAACATTTTCATGTGCCACTTTAGACTTTGTACAATTTTGTCTATAAATATCAACAATAATATAGTTAAAAATGCATATTTGCAAATTATAAAATAGGAAAGAAATGTTGGTCCAAAAAAAAATTGGTCATTAGTTCCTTAAATAAGTAAAACTGTTCGGAATTGGTTTCTTTAAAATTTCCGGTGTTCTCGTACATGATTAGACTTCTATTTTATCGCTGCAAGTAATGTGAATGATTGCCGATGCTGAAAATATTGTCGTTTATTAAAACTGGTAGCTAAAATTAATGTAAGTGACTAAACATACCGATATATGCAAAAATTACCCACAAAACCTCTTTGTAAGAGTTTGTAAAGTTTTATTCTATTCATGTTTTTTAGAGAAATAAGCTTTCTTATTATTTTGATTTTTACTGCCCTAGCGCAAGTGAAGGAAGTAAAAAGGAAAGAATAGAATAAACATTTTGTAGAATTCTCGGGCTTTTTAAATATTTTAATCATTGTAATTTCATTAATGTTTTTTAATGTCCATGTTACTAGCTTGTAAAAACCTGAAGATGACGTTAATATATAATAAAGTCGAAACATCAATCAAACCAAATAGAATAAAGTTTTGTCGATGTTTCATGACTCCAGAGTACGAAAAAAATAGGTCTCCCATTTCCTTATGTCTGTCTGTCTGTCTGTCTGTCGGCTGTCTGTTATCTGTCTGTCTCTGTCGTCTGCCTTTGTCAATTTCTGTTGGCCAGGTTATCTCCGAAACTACTGGACCATTGCTGCCAAAATCTATATGAATGTTAGCAATATCGTGGTAAAAGGCTAACCAAAATTTGTCTAATCACGCCCACCAACACCCTGATGACGTCACCTTAAAATTATCTACAGCATTTTATAGTTTTTCGAAAAAGTGAGATTTGTTGGAGTGTACTTTAGGAGTGAGGGAAGTTCTGTCGAAATAAACTTGAACCAATTTTTGTAGAAGCGTTTTAGAATAGTACCCCGATTCTTTTTTCAAACCCAAATTGTCCTTTCTGGAAAGTCAAAATGTTTACTTATCCAACTGTTTTCATGGCGGTGAAAATGTTATAGCTGTTAACATTACAAATATCTTATGTTGACCGTCGATTCTTTTTTTTTTCTTGTGGATGCTGCGTGTGGTGAAATCAATCGGCTTATCGTCACTTGTTTCGAAAGGCCACAGATTTTATGCTACAACTTGCTGTTTCCCCCAAACTGTTATAAAAGTTAACATTTTACAAAAAGCAGTAATTACAGTGATTGTTTATACTGCTTTGAAATTTTCTACAAAACGAGCAATCTCCAAATCGCACTTCCAGAGCAGATTTCTGGATTTATCCAAAGTGTTTGTGAAGTGAATAATATAGAAATTAAGATAATTTTTATCTAGTGTCTGTACATAGTTAAATTAATATAATATTGTAGTGATTGTGCTAACAGTCTGATACGAAAATTAAGAAGGCGACATCCCCTGTGCCTCGGAGGTTATGGATTATGTTTCGGATCAATACAAAGAGTACAAGGATCTGTATAGTAAAGTCCAAAGAACCTGGTAAATAACCGATGAGAAGATGATATATTTAAAATTAAGCTTACGATAAAACATTGATAACTATTTTAAGTACTAGATACAAAATAAAAATATTTTTTCTTGGCAGCGACAAATTGTTCCGCTTCCTACTGTGTTCATTTCAAACATTCACCAAATTTTTCACACAACACATATAGGTTCTAATGTTAAATTTAGGAACCTTTTGATTATATTATAATGGCTGCAGCCAATTTTTTTTAATTTTCCGTAGAACAAAAAATAAATCAACCAGCTTCGAGATTCTTGTAAAACAAGATAGAATAAAGCATATTCTAATTTTTCACGACTTTAGTTTTGTAATATTTATCCGCAAAATGCTAAAGTTTACAGTTTTAATCATTAGATCTCACGTGTAAAGTGATGAAAGGCATTAAATTAAATAAGTACAGTATTATTTTTCTTAATCTATTTCCCGCAAAAATAAACAGAACTCTATGAAAATAAACATAGTTTCAAAATGGCGGTGAACCTCCCTTTTAAAACGACCGTTAAGATTCGGTCGTTTCCAAGTCAATTTCACGAAAAAAAAAATAGGTTTTTTTTACGTAAAGTTGACTTTGCGCATAACACAATGCTCAAAACTCCAATCTAATGGAAACAGAATTTCTTTAGTGGGACACTAGATCTAACGATATTAATTAATATAAAAAGGTGAAGCTGTAAAGATTATAAAGAAAGTATATAAAAAGATCACATCTAAAAGTAGCAACCAGGTACAATGAAACATATCTTCTTAGAATAAATTTATTACAATAAAGAAAAATATTTAGCTTGTAGTGTGCTTTGTGTTGTTAAAAGTATCAGGTAAAAATATCAAATCTGAAGCCAAATCTATTAGCCTTCAATCTTTGAACAATTACAAATGATTCAAGGGACGCCTCCGTAAAGCACCCTATTATTAGTGCTGAAGAACTGTATTGCTGCTATATAAACCTTAGAAGATATGTTTTACTATACTTATTTGATTTTATTACAAATCCTTGTAAACATTTATGGAACAAAATTCTTTCAGTGGGTAAACTTATAAGTCTTCTTATCAAAATGCAACTAACTCTAAGTTACAAATTTTGGAACAGTAGACTTAAAAATGAAATAAAATTGTATAATTTTTATAATAAATTTAAGAAACTAAAGCACTGTAAAAATATTTGCGGTTTACATAAAATACTTATGTAATTGTTGTACCTTTAAAAACAAGATATTAATTTTGATCATTTCGACAATGTGTTCCAGTGCATGCGTGTCTACGTCGAATTCGAAATAGCGCAAGGAGCTTACGACATTTCATGTCCTGACGCCCAGTGTCCATCTAAGGGAGTCTTGCATGAAGAAGAGATAAAAAGACTGGCTGGAGATGATTTATTTGAGAAACATAAAAAGTACAGATTAAATAGAGGTAATATAGTACTTATTATAACCATCTTGTTATATTTATACTGTCCTATATTTTATTTTTTTAGAAATAGAATTAGATAAAAGTCGCACATGGTGTCCACGGGCCGGTTGTGAAACGGTGTGTAATTTATGTCCAACGCAACAGTGTCAACCTCACAGTGTCCATTGTCCAAATTGTACAACAGACTTTTGTAGTAATTGTAAATTAGAATGGCATGAAGGTCTAACATGTGAAGAAAACAACAAGAAATTGGCAAAAGAAGGCAAAGTTGAGGAACCTGGCATACCTTTCAATTCAGATCTCATTAAATGCTGCCCCATGTGTAATGTTCCTATTGAAAAAGACGAAGGCTGTGCGCAAATGATGTGTAAAAGATGTAAACACGTTTTTTGTTGGTATTGTCTAGCCAGTCTTGATGTAACCTTATTCCAGATGATAACAGAAAAATGTGCTAATTTTTTTAATTTTAGGACGATTTTTTACTTCGGCATTATGATAAGGGACCTTGTAAAAATAAATTAGGCCATTCTAGAGCTTCTGTAATTTGGCATAGAACGCAGGTTATTGGAATATTTGCCGGATTTGGAATCCTACTTCTTGTCGCTTCTCCGCTGCTTCTACTAGCTGCACCATGTATAGTATGTTGTAAGTGCCGAGTGTGCAATGCAGGGACCACTAAATTAGACAACGAAGAAGACGTTCCTGTTGAAGAACCTTGATGTGTTTTACAGTGAAATTAATTATACGTTCTTAATTGCGGTCGTGAAGATAGTTTTTTAATTTTACCTGAATATTTGAGAAACGTTGAAGAAAAACGAGTTTAGTTTGCACAATAAAAGTACGAAAAAGTTAATTAACTAATTATAAAGGTTATTAGTTCATTTCTTTAAGGTTTCTCACGTCACAAAAATCATGTCTAGTCTGGCATTCATTGCATACGGTATTCGTTCAACCATCACTGATTTGTTAATGTATGTTGGAGTTTAAACATGGACGGAATCTGTGATAGAACTGTGATTATGAATAACCGTCTGTGTCTTGAACTTAGTTACATCATTTATTTGCTGTTTCAATTTGAAATTTTATATTTTAATGATTAGCTGTTGATTAGAATGCTGTGATATGGGAGGAGTAGTACGTATGAAGTATTACTAATAATAACAATTAGGGAGATTTAAAGTGCGAACGTTAGGATAAATAATTTTATTTCATGTTTTATAATTTAACAATGTTATTATTATGTTACTTTGTGTACAGAACATTCTGTTTTATGAATAATGTATTTTTGTTTACTTGCAGTATTCTACTACACAGCAAATTAGACAAAGTGATTTTAAGGCCTTATTATCTGTACAGTTTCATTGTTTATTGGTTGTTGCATCTTTTGTTTTGTTTATTTTTTCAATCGTATGTTTAAGACTTATTTCACTAGAACACAGCTGCTTCATATTACACAATTACCTTTCTCTATGAAGACAATTGTGCATATAAAATAATGTAGCTACTCATTTAAGTACCTAGTTATGTACCTATTATATAATATCCTAGAGTTAAATTTAATAATTTAACATCCTGCATAAATTTTATTCGTTTGATTTTGTTTATATTTCTCTTCACAAAATTCCACTGTTCACATTTACTGACTTACGCTGTACCTACATGTACATAATGTTAAAACATCATAGATTTAATTAGGTACCATGTACTTATTATTAATAAAAAAATATACACTATTCATACTAAATAACTTTTTTTATATTTTACGAATCACATTAACGGCGTAACATCTACTACTTTTACGAAAAACACTAAATACCATGAACTAAACAAAAATAACCATTACCTATGAAAATTGTGAATATAATGCTTGATAGGAATCTTCTGAAAAATGATCCAAAACGTTCAAACAACACGATGGACAAGAGAGATTAAAAAAAAAAGATTTATTAGGGAGTTGTCGCCAATCATGGGCGAATCAACGGTAGAAATCTGCATTGGTCGTCTGAGAATAAGATAAGACATCGGACTCTCGTGGTTAGCATCGAAGATGACTTTATCTAGAAACGGATTTGATTAGCCGCCATAGATGGCCAGTAAAAGTCCAACCCGGATTTACCCTCGGCATTATTCAACCACCTCACACCCACAAGGAAAATCTCATGATTGTGAGTGCTTCAATTAATACCGATCATGACATATCTGTAGGCGCCGCAAATGTTTTTCCCTCTAGGAGCACTAACATAGTGCGACATCGGACAAACACTTGAGACTCTCAACCGAGTCCTCAAGGTCCGCGAAGACTACTTTTGGCAAAACAAGAGGAAGCCAAGGAACTGGTACGAACAATGTTGGATAAAGGTGTTATGGAGGAATCAAATAGATCTTGGTCTTCGCCTGTAGTGCTAGTCACCAAAAAGATGGGTCCACGCAATTCGGCGTAGACTACAGGAAACAAAACTATGTAACCAAGAAAGACCCGCTTCCACGATTTAATGACAAACAACATTATCCATATCTGTTCTCTGTTTCTCCACGTTAGACCTCAAAAGCGGCTATTGACAAGTTGGTATTCATCAAGAAGATAGACGACTTTTTCCACCGGCAGTGGCTTGTATCAATTTACCTTAATGCCTTTTAGACTGTGTAACGCTGATGGAGACGGTATTGCAAAGGCTAACATAGAAGACATGGTGTGTTGGGGTTACCTTGCAGCTATTGAGTAGGTAATGGCATGTTGTGCTGAGTCGGAACTTGCAGCACAGTAGACAATCTAGGGCATAGGCAGATAGACACATTTTTTTTTAATGTCATGAACGAAACCATCGTTAAAGACTCCTAGTCAAAGACGCAAGGTAGAAGAAGCGCAGTACCGAAATTTTTTTCCCAAGTGCCGAAGCACGGAAGCGTTGGAGACAGTTGAGGAAAACCCAGTCCAAGTAAACATAGTTAACCCAAAGCGTGTGTCAGATTCGACATTACAGTAATTATCAGAAATTTTCAACACGAGAAAGCAAACAGAAAAAACACGAGCAAGGCACGAAGGAAGAAGAAGACAAGAAGGAAGTGGTGCAGAGGGCGAAAAGGACAAGGAAGAAAGTAGGCCAGAGAGCGAGGTCGACAAGGAAGAAAACGACACAGCGACCGGAGAAGACAGGATGTCAAACGTAATTCTTCACGAGGGTTTGGAAAAACCAAAAATTCCAACCTTGCCGAAATTTTTATTACTACAGAAGGCGTTTCAACGGCTTTGCTGTTATTGCTGCTCCTCTGCACAGGCTGACAGACTTGAAATCTCAATTTTGTTGCTGAATATAAGGCAGCCTTCAAAAGACTGAAGAATGCACTTTGCTCTAGTCCTATTTCGTCTTATTCTCAAGCATGGAGGATGTTCATTTTGGACAAAGACGCGAGGTGCAAGTCACTGAGTATTTCAGCAGTGTAGTTTCGAAGCCCGAAAAGAACCACTGTGCCACAAGGAAGGAATTGTTAGCGATCGTCAGAACTGTTGGACACTACTTGCACAAATATCTCTGGACGAAAATTCCTAATTAGAACCGATTAAGTAGCCTTTACATGGCTCCTTCAAATGAAGAATCCCGAAGGATAAGTGACTAGGTGGTTTGAACGATTCCAACACTATCACTTCAAGAGCTAACATAGGGCCGGTAAACTTCACAATAATGCAAACTCTCTGTCGAAAAGACCGTGTCAGAACTGCAAACAATGCGACAAGATTGATGAGCGCGAAACGATGTTCAACTGTGGGAAGACTGCAGTCGCAGAGGGTAAAGAATAGACTACCGCTCAGCTTAGGAAAGACACAGAGGAAGACGTGGATATCGGGCCGCTCAAACGAAAGTAAGATGAGATGGAACAGTCTGTCTGATTGGAAATACCACACGAGTCCCCCTCTTTCAAGATATTATGGGCTCAGTGGAACTTCCTGCAAGTCGAGAGCGGATTGCTAAAGCGAGCCTGGGAAAGCCCGGATGGGGAACATATCGTCATGCAACTGCACCAACTAGTTCTTCCGGCCATCAGAACAACGGAATTACTTTGAGAATCAACAATATGCTTTCTAAAGTTAGGGAGAGATTTTACTGGAGTGGTTGTCGAGAAGACGTGGAGAGCTGTTGCAAGAAATGTTCGACTTGTGCGCGGGTCAAGGAACCGACTAAGGCGAGAGGTCCGATGCAACAATACAACGTCAGTTCGCCTTTAAAAGGAATTGCAGTGGATATAGCGGGTCCTTTCCTAGCGACCAAGGACGCGAACAAGCATATAATGATCATCAGTCATTCCTTCAGCAAATGGCCTAAAGCTTATGCCATAACGAACCAAGAAGCTACTACAGTTGCAAGGGTGCTGGTTGACAACTGGATCTGCACGTTTGGGGTTCCAATGGCAATGCATTCGAATCCAGGTAGAAATTTCGAGTCAAAGCTATTCCAAAGAGTCACTGAGTTACTCGGAATGCGGAAGACACGCCTTGCACCCGCAGTCAGATGTCAGATGGAATTGTAGAACGGTTCAATCGTACTTCAATGGAAGAACATCTTTCAAACATTTCGCATTTTTTGTCACCTTTTCGTCAACTTCTTATCCTCTTTTTTTTATTTTCTTTTGATGACTTGTTTGCGGTTTTGATGCTTTTTCAAAGACTTTTTTGTCACTTTATGTAGTCGCCTTTTATCCTTCCGTGTTTGTGGTCTCTTTTGTGGACTTTTGTGGTTGTTTTTTGTGACCTTTTCTTGTCGCCTTTTTTTGAATCTCGCATTTTTAGCCTCCTTTTCCCGTCACTTCTTGTAGTGGTAATTTTTGTCCTCTATTTTCGTATTTTTGTTGAATTTTTTCGTTTTTCGGGGTTGTTTATGTATCACTTTTTGTAGTCACCTTTTTTGCAGACTTTTTATCGCATTTTTGTCCTTTTTTCATTGCTTTTTTGGTAACTTATTCTAATCCCCCTTTTTTAACACTTTTGTGCCCATTTTTTTTGCAGACCCCCCATTTTTCGTCATTTCTTGCGGTGGCCTTTTTCTCAATTTTTATTTTTTTGTCCTCTGTTTTCGTATTTGTTTGACGATGTTTTTTGTGACTTTTGTGCATTTTTGTTTTTTTTTATAGTCGCCTCTTTTAAGAACTTTTTGTCCTTTGTCTTTTTTTCGTCGCTTCTTTGTGATTTTTTTGTAGTCGTTTTTCCGCATTTTTTGTGAAATCAGTCGCCTTTTTGCCATTTTTCTTGTCCTTACTAAAAAGTTGATGAGCACAGCAAAATTTATTCTAGAGCACAGCAAAATTACCTATAGATGGCGTTGTAGCACGAGCGGAGTTTGGGGCTCCTGGTTGTGGCTGTTCTTCCACCACGACGGTAATTCTACTCTACTGGTAAGCAGATACCGCCCAGCACCCCTCTATCTAACGAAGAAACGTGCCGCGCTAGCAGACCGTTACGGGCCCAAACTAGTGGTTGGAAATCCCGGCTATTGGGCCAAGCCGCGACTGTCGCGTCATCCCGATCGCTACCCTGACTTCTATTCAAGACCTGCGTCTTTTGTGCAGATGGCGCGATAAATCCCGCCAGCTCGACTAGGAACCTCGCCCTCCGCTTCTGACACATGTTTTTGTGTTATTTACATACTTATTTAGTTAAATAAAAAAAAATATATTTAATGGTATATTTGCTAATGTGTCTTATGTCCTTGTCTACTAAGCTTACATTTCTTACAAAATGCTCTTATCTAAAAAAAAAAGGTGGATAGCATATTTTTCTATCGTAGCAACAAGTAAAATTTGTTACGTTTTTAAATTCCTAAAATGTTCTTTCTGACAGATATCATATTTTCCGTCTTAACTGCTACCAATGCATTGGTATGTTTCCATTTAAAAAAAATCTCACCCAACTGACTGATTCAGGCAGCCTCGCAGTACCGTGTACAACCCCGTATCTGTCTAATAAAGGAAAAGTCGCAGAATAATGTCAATGGAACCAATGTCACGTACACAATAATAAGTTGCTACAATTCGTGGTGTTGTAAAGAGGGTTGCTGTAACTGGTACATCAATTTGTAAGTATATAGTCAGAATCGTCCTTATTATATCATTGTGAACTCTAGATCTGTTTGGATTACTGCTCTGCTGATTTCCATATGCATCTATGTTTTCTTAAAAGCACTTCTATATAAGTTTTGGTGTAGCAAAAATGACAAAGGTTTGTTAGACGTCACGGTGAAAAAGGACGCCGATTGTGCATGAGCTAATTTCAAGATAACGAAAATTTTCATTTTATTGTAGACGTGCAGCGATTGTACAAAAACCATGAAAAATAAAGTGTGTTTCAGATTTCAGCAATAAATGTGCGTTTTCTGTTACATAGTATGCAGACTGCGCTTGTGTTTCTTCTCACTAGAAACTGTAAAATATACACTGTAGGTTAAACTAAAACAAAACGAAAAGTTCTGGCGGTTAAGTTTTTTTTTTAGCACGCCAGTTTTGAAAACTGACATTATCTAACATTTTGAGGTAATGTCGTCACATTGCTGGTGCAGACGATCACGACTTGTCACACCTAAGATCAACTGACTTAATTATGAAAAAAATCTAAAATTTAGTATGTCGGTCGCTACACTTCATAAAAGACACAACAGAAAAGGTTAGTATTACTTTATAAAGTCCTGCTAAAAATTTTATTATTCGCAAAAACAAAAAGGCAGTTTTTGTGGATAATATATTTTTATTAACTATTAAAGTCCTCTAGATAATATGTTTGAAAATAATCCATTCTCATCGAACAATGAGTTGTGATAATTTTAAAGCGCAGGTGTGTAATAATTTATTGCAGATGGAAATTTTGTAATAGTTATCTATTTACCTTGGCTAAAAATTGTTAATTTTCATTTTATTTTTTATTTATTTTTGCCAGTAGCAACTCTAGTGCGAAAACTACACTAGCAAACACTAATCCATAAAATAAAATCATGAAAGCACCCTGAAAATGGGTTACAGAGAGTTTAAAAAAACCGTTCTCTTTGTCCAAACGATCCTGTAGAAAGTACTTCCACCTAACATCTGACACCAACTTGTTTACCAGCCCACTTTCAACAATTCTTTTAATAGAGGCATTAAGAATATCAAAAAGTTCGTGGTTCTTTTTCACATAAAAACATATTTGAAAATACATAATTTCAAAAACGTTGACGCTTTCGCGTAGGTTGGGGCGCATTATTAAGACTCCTCTGTCAATTATAGTCGCAAAGTTTTTTTTAATCAGCATTTCATCCAAGTTCTCCATAAGTGTTAGATTAGTACCAATGTATGTATTGTACACACGAAGATTTTGGGGACCAGTAAACAAAAATATTAGCGCTAAGCCATCTGAAAATTTTAAAGGTAAATCGGATTCCAATAGTTTTCCCAGATTTGTTATGTCGTTTTCGTAAACGGGATTACTAAATATGTCATACAGTTTGGCTTGCAATACTACACACGTCAGTAACGATATCCAACAATAAATAGTGATTATTGTCTTTAGAGCTCTATTCACAGGTAACTTTGAGACTGGCAAATTTAAAGCAATTGAAAACAGATTTAAGATGTTTCCAACAATGTCCTTAAAGTAGTCTTCATGAGAGATTTTCATTGCAATGATGCAAAATATTATACACATTATTAAAAACAAAAATAGCATAGAGCACCAAAATGGGTAAGGAAAATAGTGGACCATCGCTTTCCAGTAAGGCATTCTGACAGCCTTTGGAACTGCCCAATAAATATTGTCGTCATATACAGTCGTTGTAGTTTCAACAATGGCATTTGGCAAATTATTTCCCAGCCCGAGAAATATATCTGCGTATCCACTTTCAAAATCACTTTCCACTGATTCAAAGGAATAACTTTCTTGTAATTCTTGAAAATAAATAGGATTTTCAGGCATGTAGAGTAACTTGAACCCATTACTTTCCGCAAAAATGTTTAAAACCCCAACAAAGATACCAGAAGAGTTATTATTAATCCAAGGATATGAATGAGAATAGATTACCTTTAAAGGGCACCCATAAAAATGATTCTTCATGTTAGGATTAAACAATCCATGCTGCATTTTCAACGTCCCATGAAAATGACCAATTTTCATAGGTTTTATATACTCTCCACATTTGGAGTTTTTAAAGTCAATTTCAAATATGTCCACACTTGTTTCGCTGTCCAATATTATGAGTGATTTATATAAACGATAAGACCATAACATCTTGGCCAGATAAATTAAATCATCGATTTTTTTTGTAATTACTACATATTTGCTCCTTGAATCAAAACCATACGAATCTTTTAAGACAATCATTGTTTCGTTTAATAAGTTTAGATTATTGTAACTTAAAATTACATTATTAAATTTTTCCTCTATTGTCGTCAAAAGATGCAAATGTGTAAAATCAATACGTATCATTCCAGAAACATTACGGATCTCTAAATATTCTTCCGTGATAATAACAGTACGTGAAAATATGAAGTTCTTGTCCACAATTTGGGTTACACAGTCGATTAAATTTTTATTTTCATCATTTCTTAACAAAGCATGTGTAAAATCAAGCATTATAAAAAAATAAACAAGAAATAATTTTGCGATAAGCATATTCGCTTATTTTTTATACGGGACACAATTTTGTGGCGATACACATGATAACATGACACAGGTATGAATAGATATATATACCAAAATAATTCTTTCAACGTGCAATTTATATAAATGTCATTGCATTAATAAAACATCTACAATAATGTTTGTTAAATTTTGTGTATAGCAATAGATGAGAAATTCCTCGAGATCCATGTACTTAACGACGGTTAATAATAACATTCACTTACAACCGCATCATTCTAATGTGTTTGTCTATTCAAGCTAAAAGGTTTACTAATAAAAATATCCTGTACTTGATTTAAAAGGTTTACTAATAAACTAATAGATAGGTACGCGACGCTAAAAGTTACCGACATTTTTTCTCTCATATTCCTACTACGTTTCCAAAAAATTTCGCGCAAATGACATTGACATGAAAACACGGTGTATAATAAGTTAATAAGTTACTAACAAAAATAAACTTATTATACATCGTGCATGAAGGTCATATTCTGTTGCTTTTTATTGGTCTATGAGAACCTGATTTGCTCATCTTGTCCAATTTTTTTTGGAAATGACCGTATAATTTTTAGAAAAAAAAATTGGTCGAAGGTTATATCGACAGTGCTTCCCTCGCCCCTGAAATACAATAAAACAAATCCAACTTTTTCGAAAAATTATAAAGTTTGATTATGCGAATTTTATTTTTTTTTATGAGAACCCTTATAAGTTAAAATAAAAGTATGTATGTAAATGTAAAGAAGCGTGCGGGGTCGTACGTTCCAAATGAGTTTTCTATTAACAAAATTTTGTGATGACGTCATTAACATTTCTGCAAAGACACGTATATCACTTTGAATAGGTGCAGTGTAATACTAATGAGAATATAATTCATGAATCACATGACTCCATTTCTTCCAATAGAATTTGTTCATGCCCGTAGTTACATGTCTATCACAGCGATAATAATTTTATTGCCTTATTGTGGTCTGTTGCTACCTAAATTTAAAAACTGTCAAATTGACAAATTTTAAAATTTCGTAAATTTTTTTGTCTTTTATGGCTTGCCAACGTTGGGGGCAAGCTCAAAACGACGAAATCAATTCTATTATCAAAAAATGTGTTCATTTATTATATTCTCATGTTGAATATAACTCGTGATATGATTAATAATCGAAGATATGGCTCGTGAAACCGAAGCAGCACATTCAACTCGTGCTTCGCACTCGTTGAATCTGCCGCTCGGTTTCACTCGAAATATTATCGATAATAATCATATCACTTGTTATATTATAATTGATAATAGTATTGTATTAATAATACACAAATTTTCGGGAAAACGGAGTGAGCCGTTCCCGATTTAATCAATAAAGTAAATGAACTCTTTCATTAATTTTTTATAAATCACCCTGTATAAGAAATTTAAAAACTTTTAATGCAATGATAAATAACAGGTATAGACTCATTATATTTTCCACATTTTGGCTAGGATTTATTCAGCAAAATTTAGAGATGACATGATCAATTTTTGGAGAGAGGATAAACGAATAAATTTTGCTTAACGATTTACCATGATTACGACAACCTTAAAATAGTATTATTCAGTTTTGAATTTTTTTCCAAAAATTTTGGATGTCTAGGGTGAAAATTCGACGTGGATTCACACACCACAAGTGCAGGAGTATTTCATTTTATAAAATTAAAAAAAAAAATGTTATAAATTTTGGAGATGACGTCATCCCATTGGTGGTGGGGATAATTAATCAAATTTTAGCGAGTGTTTAACCATCTACATGATATTCCTAATATACATACAAAATCTGACAACAATTGCTCCAGTAATTTCTAATCTATACTTATAAATAAAAATGAATTGCCGAAATGTATGTACGCTCATAACTTCAGAACGACTGCACCGAATTGGATGATTCTTTTTTTTACGTGTTCCTTATTGTCAGGACAAGGTTTATATGTAAGAATATTTATAAAAAATAAAACAGCTAAAAGATAAAAAAAATTTAAAAATTTTGTATGAGAATCGCCACTTCGAATTAATTTGAATAATTGGCGTTCCTGACGGACCTGTCGTCTGACTGACGTGTCATACAAAACTAATTCTTCCGTGCGATTGTGACAAGTGTATTGCATTTCAAGTCGTTCTTTGTTTTTTCGTAAAAAGAAACGTCGTTTATTTTAAGAAAAGATTTGGTTAAAGTGAATTTAGTTACACATTGCGAAAGTTTCTTATTAATTTTGAACTGCCATTCTATTTACCTATGTTCACTTTGTTGGTTTCGACAAAACTTCAAACTTTACCGTTATTCGAGGATTTAATTTGAAGTTTTAAGTATTTTAAAATTCTCAAGACAAAATTTACAGATTTGATTGACTGTGAAAATAATTCTTTGTCGTTTTGTGAAGTTCATTACAATGCCGAGAAGACGACAAGCTGACATAGGTCGACGAAGTCAATCAAATGTGCGACGAACTACCTCAGGTGCAAATCGCAATGATTTATTTCATGGGTAATTCGGATACGGAAGTTGATCAGCGTTGTGCTCATAATCAACATAATCAAATATGAAGCGAGACATTGGGTGGTATGAATAAAACTGAGTAGATACTCATATTCGAAGTACGAAGTACCTACTTCATTATTACTCTTACATACCTGAGCACCTACTCTATGTACTGAGTACCTACTTGGAAACACTGTATCTCCCCGGACACAAATTGAA